AAGGACTTGGGCCCCTGCACCCACGCGGGAGACCCAGAAGAAGCTCCTGGCTTCTGCTTGGCCACTGCAACCATCTGGGAAGTGAACCAGCAGATGGAAGATCTATCTCTCCTTCTCTTTTACTCTTTCAAATAAATACATCTTAAAAAAAAAAAAAAAAAAAAACTCTTTGAAAAAAAATCTGCCGTAAAGCCCTCCCCACAAAAACCCCAAAGCCACACCAAGAGCACACCACCCATTACTTTCCCACCAAGTTTCTGCGCAACCACAATGGATCAGCCTAGCAATAAGACGACTGCTTGTGCGGCTGCGTGTTATCTCCGACAGAAGCCAAGCAAGGACAGGGTCAAGCTGCCTGCTTTCTTCCCAGGACACTGGAACCCGTGTGGGTACAAGGTTTCCCGTGAACCAGAAATGGGACGGCTCACTGGACGTGGCGCACACATTTAACCATCACTTGGTATTGAGTCCAGCAGAACCACGCACCTCTACTATGGATTTGCTTGCATAGTATGAATCTACCAACCTTCGATAAGCTGCCCGCTACCCCCAAGTCTCCCCGCCCCCAGCCAGAGGGTGTCTCTCCTGAAAAGACAGCTGGGGGTACAGGAAGATCTTTCCTACGTTACCCGATTTCCCTTTTGCCAAAGTTCAGCAGTGTCGTGCCATAAGCAGATCACCCCGGGGGGTTTTCTCTTAGCAAGCAATTAAACCTGAGAATGAACTTTTTATTAACAGTAAGGCTGACTGTATTAAAAGTCGTTTATACTAACTACAGCTTCACTGATGATCAAGTTAGTACACACGCTACCATTTTTCTTTACCCAAATGTGTTTTTTATTAAAGCGGAACAATGACCTATTTTTAAAAAGCATATTATCCTTAATTCATTCCATCCGACCAGTTCTTACTTAAATCATCGCTGTAAGACAAGACACCCCGATGCTGTTCTTTCACTAAATGAATGGAACTTGAAATACGCCGCATCTAACGAAGGAGACGCCGCTGTCGTTGGCGGCTGAGAATAGAAAAAAAAAAAAAAAAAAACAGGTGTTCCAGTCATTTCTAACCCTTGCCCTGGTTCGCCTGAAAATCAAAACCCCAGGAACTTCAATGTCCATTTCTGTCAAATGGTACACTACACGTTACTGAAATTTCTTAAATACCTTTAAAAATGATTTTTTTAAAAAATCTGTTATCAAGCTGGTGGGTTCTTGGATGCTGTTTTTAATTCTACTGATAAGAACTATGCATGCAAGGTTTGTACTTAATCTGGGTCTGTTTGTCTTTAAACATTCTCAGGGCGAGATGTTAAGAACCAGTACAAAGCAATCTATTCAAACTGAGTATTTTATTATCGCACCAGGCGTGAGATTCTTTTCTTTGAATCAGAATCTTTTCTTTGAATCAGAATAGTTCCTGCACTTTCTTAGTTCATATTACGCTTTCTACTGTCATAGCATTAAAATAAGTCAGGAAAACGATCCAAAATTTAGGTTAACAGCAAGGCCTATGAATGCGGATTTCACATGCAAATCTCTCTGGAGCGTTTTTTTCTTTTTTTTTTTCTTTTCTTTTTTTTTTTAAGATTTATTTATTTACTGGAAAGGCAGAGCTACAGAGAAGCAGAGGCAGAGAGAAAGAGGTCTTCCATCCACTGCTTCACTCCCCAGATGGCCGCAACGGCTGGAGCTGTGCTGATCCAAAGCCAGGAGCCAGGAGCTTCTTTCGGGTCTCCCACACAGGTGCAGGGGCCCAAGGCCTTAGGCCATTTCCTCCTGCTTTCCCAGGCCATAGCAGAGAGCTGAATCAGAAGTGGAGCAGCAGGGACTCGAACCGGCACCCATGTGGGATGCCAGCACTACAGGGGGTGGCTCCACCCGCTACGCCACAGCGCCAGCCCCTCCCCTGTGATTTCATTTTCCCCTTTTATTAGTGATTTCCAATAATTCCCAGTTTTAAGATTTGTAGATGTACATTTCTCTGTATGCAAAAAAATTAATGAAGCTCAAATAGCTAATTTTTGAATTTAAGTTCTTATGTAAGCTAGCGTTTGCGAAATCCTCAACAGCATAATTTCCCAAGCATATGCTATCCAATTTGATTGTCTCTCTTTGTGCAAAAAGCCATGTACTACAAATACTGTCTAACTGGCACAAAACGGTATAGATATGAGGGTACTTTAAGAACTTCATGGAAAAACAGAATGAAGGGGTCCACGCTGTGGCGTAGTGGGTGAAGCTACCACCTGCAGTGCCGGCATCCCATCTGAGCGCTGTTCAAGTTCTGTTGCTCCACTTCTGATCCAGCTCTCTGCTATGGCCTGGGAAAGCAGTAGAAGATGGCCCACGTCCTTGGGCTCCTGTACCCATATGGGAGATCAGGAAGAAGGTCCTGGCTCCTGCCTTTGGATCAGCCCAGCTCCGGCCATTGCAGCCATTTGGGGAGTGAGGCAGAATATGGAAGACTTTTCTCTCTGCCTGCCTCCCCTTCTGTCTCTGTCTAATTCCCTCAAATAAATAAATAAATCTTAAAAAAAAAAAAAAACAGAATGGAAAGATTTTGTATTTTGGTACAAAAAGAAAATTGAAATCCATGCCTAGCCTCTTCATAATGCAAATTTCCATAAATCTCTTGAAGATTTCTTAGGAAACGGGAAACACGGGTTAAGATTTTACTTCTAAAAGATATCACTATACGATTACGTATTGTTGAATCTTTGCATCCAGCTAGCTCTCAAATGTTCCCGGTTTCTCACCCAACTGTGTATTTCCTCCTCCTGCTGATCAGAAACCGTAAAGAAACAAAGAAATCAGAAGCATTTCAGCCACGCAGATGAAGAGAGGCAAAAGTTCTCGCTCCGGCAAGAGCGGCATTCAGGGCCTGATGTGTCTTTCCTATCGCAACAGCCTCTCTCGTCCTGTTTTGTGCATCCTTTGTGCCGAGTCGATGATCCTTCTGATATTAGATAGGGTCTAAGGCAAAAAAACGGTGAGAACTTTGGCAAACGCACTTTTGCAAATCTTCACGGTGGCAATGGAACTAGGAGACATTGGTGCAGGGTGCAATGTCAAAGCGATTAGAACCTAATTAGCCGGAGCTGGTTGGCTTCATTCACAGGAGCCGAAGAATTTCTGAGGGAAGCTGGGATGCAGTTGACCCAGCAGACTGGAAAAATCACGCGCCCCACAGGGCCGTGGCTGGAGCAGGACCACAGCGAATGCGGCAGGGAGGCCATATCCCCTCCGTGGCCAGATTCCTGCCCGGATAACCGGCAGCAAGGGAGGGAGTCTGCCCCGGAATCAGCTGAAGTCACCCAAAGTATCACTTTCCCAGAAATACGCAGCATCCCATCACTGCTGTGTCATGGAAAGCAGGTTTAAAGCATCGCGCATGCAATGTTCGAGATGTGAGTGTTTCGCTTATTATTCACTGGGAACTTTAAAAAAGTGGAAAAAATTTGGCTTTCCCAACTCATGGCTATTCCTCCGCTCAGTTGTTCTTAAAAATAATTTATGTAAAACAGGGTTTTCTCTAAATACACTGGGCTCTCCCGTACACACACTGAAAACGGTATTTGCATACCGCGAGTCTAGGCACTGATACGCACATGGTAAAAACTTAAAAAAATATGGACTGCATAAATCAGTAGCTGATTTTAAACATACACCAACTTCAACAGATTTGTTTGCAATTTCGGAATTCCTCAGGTAGACAAGATCCTTCTTGCTGGCTGTGGCCCTAGGAGATGTTTATACTCCATGGAGTATACAAAAACGCTTCCCATATAAACAAAGAAAGGCAGGTTCCAGGATCTTGGTATTCTAACCCTGCCTTTGCCATTCCACAGCCACCCGATGGCCGGGATGGCGGCCCAGCCTGCAATGCTACAGTAAACATGATATTTTGCATGCTGCCCGAGACACGTATTTTTCTCATGAATCTAAGTCCCAAGCCATTTATTACAAGATCTTTCCCTGAATGACACCCCATTATGTAGATGCAGCCAAGCTCAAACGAGATTTCAACAGATCGATATACTATTTGTGCTCAAAGTCTATTAGGGGCTCTAGCCACAAACTCTGCAGAGACCCAGAAATGGAAGCCATGCTCACATGGACGGAAAGACACGGAAACCCACATTTTGGGTAAGGGGATGGACACAGGATGGCACCACAGCCAGGGTCGAGAGAAGCAAAGAGGAGATGTTGTTCCTGGTAAGAAGCAGCTGTCCAGAGCCTGCCTGCTCCCCGCTCCCACTCCAACTGTATAAACACATGAATGCCTGAGAATTGTGCAAAACTACATTACATGTTGAGATCTGTCAAGGAGCAGGAGGGGTGTAGGCCAGCAGCAAATCCCTTTCAGAGTACAGCCAGCTCCCTGCGTTAAGGAGCCACACTTGGAAGAACCCTATAGCCGTGAAGTGGAGGAGGCAGACGCAGCCCCAGGACATCGGCCAAATCTCACACTATCCAAGGGCTTTGTGTGAAAAGCAATCCGCCTCCTGCATACCTTCGCACTTGCCATTTTAGAACTTACCAGAGCCTAGCAGTGTGGCCGTCAGCAGTGGGGCTACAGCGCGCTGGGTCATGCATGTGGCAGGACGGTAGCCATAGGATTTCATCCCGCCCAAGGGAACTCTGCCCCTGAGCCCGGCCACCCCAGAAGGATGCGCTGTTTGGGCACCTGTCAATTAATTCTGCATCACCCAGACCCAGCAGTTCCTCATCTACGACTGTGAACAAGATGGTGGTGGGAGAGGTGCAGATCCCGCCCGTCAATGGCGACGCTGGAGCTCCTACAGCTGCACTGCCCAGGCGCGTGGCAGGGACGCATTAGGGTCAGGTGTCCCCACCCCTTCCCCAGGGGATGTAGCGCCCCCTTCTGGCCCCCTATTTATGAAGCTAGTCTTGAGGAGACAGGATAAAAAGAGAAGAACTGCTCTGCATGGACCCCCAGAGTTACCCGTATTTAATTATTTGGTTTGCTGAACTTACATTTGCACCCCTCGGGCAGAAGAACGCGTATCTGTCCATCACGTCACAGGAGCACCTGTAAGATCAACGCATTTAGGGCATTAGTTTGGCTCATCGCCAAATTCCACGAACAGCAGAGAAGATGTACAGTAGTTGGACAGGAGGAGACGCATTATGATGTGCAAACAAAGACTATTTCTCCCCATGGCTTCAGTTCTCCAATACACGGACAGACGACTTTTGAATTAGCAGATGCTGTGGCGCAGCGGGCTAAGCGGCCATGTGGAATACCTATATCCCCTATCAGAGGGCCAGTTCAAGGCCTGACTGCTGCTCCATGCTTCTCACTCAGCTTCCTGATAACCAGTCTGAGAAGACAGCAGACAACGGCTCAAGTATTTGGGTCCCTGATACCCACGTGGGAGACCCGGATGGAATTCCAGACTCCCGGTTTCAGCCTCGCTCAGTCCCAGATGTTGCAGGCATTTGGGGAGTGAACCAGTGGACAGAACACCTCTCTGTGTCTGTCTCTCTGTCACTCTGCATTTCCAATACATACATACATAAATGTTTAAAAATAAATTCACACTCTAAAACGTGACATTTCACCAAAAATAAAAGTATTTTACTTATTGACACAAACAATCGTACTCACTCACTGCCTCTTCTTGGTGGTGCTATGTTGTAAGATAAGTAAGCATGACAGGGTCAGGACCCAACACCCACCGGGAAAGAAAACCAAACCCCTCCCCACTACACCATGAGGAGCTGTCTACCCCAACCAGCAGTTCTAGATTGTGTAGGATGCGTGTGTATGCGGCAAAATGTGCATACCCAGCACATTGTTGGAATATGCAGACACATACACGCGCATGTTTAATGTCATAGAATTCTAAACAAGTCTCCAATGAGCTTTAAAAAACAAAACAAAACAAAAAACCTACACCCTCCTGCCTCAATCCAACACTCACCCCCGAAAACATATGAATATATTCATTTCAACCACGTAAAACCATCAACGTTGCTAACACCTCATGCCCTGTCCTAAGTGGTTTAGCAAATGATGTTGTCTTCCAAAATTCCTGGCCACACCCAGGCAGCCTGACTTCCGCAGATGGAAAAAGGTCGATTGTTGGAAGCCAATTCCAACAGAAGTCGGATGCCAGGCACCCTTCTCCATCCTTCGAGGCTAAGCTTAAAAAAAAAAAAAGAAAGAAAGAAACAAACAAACAAACAAACAAACTCGGGGAATAGAAAACCAAAAAAATCTCAGGGAATTTGATCGCCACCATCCCTGTGGTTGAAAAGCAGTCCAGGTGTGTGCTGAGCCAGCACGTGCCCTTCACTGGAAGGTGGGGGTTCTGGAATGTTCCTCATGCAATGCGGCATGGTGGGACCCAAGAAGTGCTGTTCTGGAAGCTTCTCCCACTGCAGTGAACTGCGCAAGTGGGCAGAACTTCACATGATCATCACTGTGTGTCCCTGGAAAAGTCCCTCTTTGAAACCAGGCTGTCGACCTCTCGGCAAAGACATCAGAGACATCCTCCCAATCGGATTCTCGAAGCCGCTGTGGAAATCAATCTTGATCAGAGGATAACCCGCCATCACAGGCATTTTTACCTAACCAGGCGCTGTTTTGCTAGGATTTATAGGTGTGGTTTGTGGATTTGAAAGAGGGGCAATGACAGCATAAGGAGAAAAAAAAAAAAAAAAAGCACAAGGGGCTTCAACAGCTGTGAACTTGACCTGGTTAGTTCAGGACAGCATGTGCAGTTTGCACGTGGTGTCTCTGCAAACCAGAGTAACTGCTGGGATGCTGCTCCACTGCCTGTATTTTCAGGGTTGGAAGGGGGTTAATTCTCTCCAGCCATCAGGAGAAAAGTATCGTTTTCTTTAAGCGATGTAATTATCTTAAAAAAATAAAAACAGGGGGCAACATGGAGTGGGCATCCTTCTGAAAATGTTTTTGTGTGGCAAAAAAAAAAAAAAAAAAAAGGAAAAAATGAAGTCTTTGCATCTCTCTCCACTTGGTCAGATCCGCCATCTGCAGTACACGCTGCGGGCGAGCATGGCTAGGATGGTAATGAACTGGGGGTTCAGGATTTCTTCCGAGAAGCTCAAAGCATCTTCTTGTCCAGAGAGCGGAAATCAGATTGGCAACCTCCTCGCCTTGTTGCAACAGTGGCCTTCATTTGATCTGTGGTGACATGGCTGGGCGGCGAGGACCCAACACGCAACGCAAACATCTGTGTCTTCCTCCAAGTATGCATCTCTGATCTGAGATGCCAGGTGCTTGTCTGTCACCAAGGCTGGTTTCATCCAGGCAGCCCCTGAAAATGAGCCCCCTCTTCAAAAAAAAAAAAAAGCACTTTTATAAAAAATATGTTGTATTAATACCAGAGTGAAAACAATTTTTTTTGGGGGGGGGGCTTCACTATATGGTTTGGAATCTGTCCTTTTCAATCATGTCTTTCAGCTGCAGGATCTTAAAATTCGGAAGCACCTCTAGATTCATACCCCTTTTCTATCAAAATCAACCTTTCAGAGTTAAATGGGCATTTGAACAAGCGGACAGGTGAAACGGGTTAACACTGTGCTTTTTAAAACCAACCCTCCAAAACGCTGTATGTATATAGATAAAGGAAACAGCCAAGCCCACACACTGCCTCTCCCTGCACCACTGCAATTCGTCGAATTCCTTCCCTGGTCTTTCATGCAGAGGCTGAGAAACAGGGTGGGGCTCCCTGGTCTTGCATGCTATGTTCACGGAGTCGGTGCTGCAAGGAAAACTCAATTAAGCCTTTGGATTGCCGTTCTCCAGTCTCCTTCACAAGCATCTTGGACATTAGCATGCTGTTCAAAGTGCCGCTGCTTCTGGTGTTCAGAATTATAGGAAAACCTTTGTGTGCAACCACATACGCTGTGTACAACCGCAGATACCGTGTACAAGCTTGGACCACAGGGATCGCAATGAAGATGACAAGTCAAGGAATGGGTAAAAAAACCCCTGAAGAAGAGGTGGGAAGAGGCTGCCTCTCTCGATGCTTTAAAAATTTTTTTCTATTTTTCTTTTAACTAGTTCAAGTCTTCAAGTAAAATCCAACCATGCTAAGCTATGCCGGTTCCCTGGTGAGTCAGCAGGCCACTGAACAAGCAGTTCAGAGTGTAGCCCGAGTAACTGGGCTAGCCTGGACACACCCATTTTACTAATCCTGACTCCTGGTTTTTTTACAATTCATCCTTAGGCTATGTAGGGGTCTGACTCAGGACTTCGCATCAAAAAACTGCCCCTCTGGCCTCCTCCAGAGGATCCAGGGTGGAAGCACTACCCTTCAGCTCCTGTGATGAGCACAGCTGGATTCCAGCTTATTCCTCCCTCAACGGACAACTCCTGCTTCATTCTCTCTCCTTGTCTGCATGTTCTCAGCCTGACATTCCCCTCGGTGGCACATGACAAATCAAATTGGCCATAACCGCACACATTGAAGGAGGGCGTTTTCTGTCTCAGAACAGCTTCCTACAATCATGGACACACCAGAAAAAAAAAAAAGTCTTGTTTTTTTTTTTATTTTTTTGGGGGTGGGGGTGTTTGTTTTTAGGAGGGAGAGAAAGGTGATGAGGGCGGTAGGAAACAACGCATGACTAACTCACCATCAAGAAAGCAAAGCAACCCACAGTCACAAAGCCAAGGGCATGGCCACAAAATACGATTTTTCAATAACGGTGCCTACAGTTTGGATTTAAAACACACAGCCCCAAATGCATGAAGACAGAAGCTTTGAAAAAACTTCCCTGAAACGCAAAGCAGGTTATTTTCCACGTATTTTTGCATGATTCAGCACTTTTTCCACTAATTTCTGGCAGAAAGTTAAAAGGTGAGAGGAACAGGGTCTGGGCGCCTGCAGACCTCAGGCGCTCCAAGCTGGGCCCCCTGCACGCTCGCTACCGCCCTGGCACAGCAGAAACACTGGGGGCTGCCGGTCCGCCCCCACCCCCGCCCTCACGCCGGCCTCCCCCTGCAGAGACCACCCCGGAGCTGTGCCATCTCCCTCGCGTCTCATCTGGGAAGGGAACGACCCGCCGCAGGGGCTTCGCCCCATTCTCGGGCTGCTGCTCGCCCGAAAATCCACGCGCGCACACACGCACGCGCAGGCAGGCACACTCACCTGCACCTGTCTCACCTCCATCAGCTGCAGCCACTCGCCGCCCACCTGATGTCTTTTCAACCTTTGTCAAGTATCTCAAGACGAGAATTTCGCCCCCGCCCCCAAATCATAGCTTTTGCCCAAGCCTACCCCCGACCCAAGCCAGCGGCAAGAGGAAGCCGAGGCGGCCAGAGACATGGGACTCGCCCTAGGTGGGCGTCGCACGGACTGGCGTCCGCGGACCCCGCCTGTGCCCCGCGCTGTCCCCGCAGCATCCCGCGCCGCACACTCACCTGCAGGAGGACGAGCCACACGCCTCCTCGGCCGCCCAGACATCCATCGCGACCCCGACCGCCGGGCCTTGGCTACGCGTGCTCGGCACGTCCGCGGTGGCCAGACCCGGGAGCCAGGCGCTAGGACGCGAGCAGCCGGCAACCGGCAGCAGGAGCACGCCCGGGCTGGTCGGCGCCGAGCTCGAGCGAGCGGGCGAGCCGGGCGGGAGGGGCCATTTGTAACCGAGCAGACGCTACCACCGCCCCTTACTCGCGGGGGGCGGGGGCGGGCGGTCAGGTGACGGCGGCCCACCCTGCGCCGCCGAGCCGGGTGGTTCCTGCCCGGGAGGAGCCCCCTGGCGCGCTCTGATTGGAACTCCCGCCGCAGTGGCGGGGGCGGGGGGCACGTGACCGCCCGGCGCGGCGGCCCGGCGCCCGCCACCCGCGATGGGCACCCCATCTTCCTCCTGGAAAAGCCGGGGGACCCAGGGAAGGCGGGGGAGCGCGCGGGGCACAGGACTGACTACCTGCCTGCCTGCAGCCGCGGTGCGGCGGGGCCTGGGCGCGCAAGGTTCCCAGCCCACCCTCCGGCCTCCCCGGTGCCCTGGCTCTGCCCTGGGCCGCATGGCGCCCCGCCCCCCACCTGCAGGCACGGGCCCTGCCAGTGTGGCCCATCAATGCCGGGGCCACCTGGGAGCGGCTGTGTCCCTCCCCTGCACATCCCGGCGTGCTGTTCCCGAGAGGAGCTCTCGGGGACGCGTTGCAGACACCGCCCAAGTCCAGGGGAGCCCCCCCCGACCACGCCCCGGGGTGCCTGGCCGCCCTGACTGAGGCGGAGGGACCTGGGCCCGCTCCCCGGGGGAGCCGAGTCCCGACCCTCCCCCCAGGTGGGAGAGAAGAGGGCTGGCGGTCCCCGGGGTGGCCTCCAGCTCGCAGTCTCCGGGGACTCCAGCTAACATAGGTCACGTTAAAACCACCAAGCTGGAGGGCGGGCGGGGACGCGCCGCGTGGTCCTAGGAAGCCCCGCTATTATCCCTAGCGAACGAGAATTGCCTCCCTTACGTGGGGGCGGGGGGTGCGGCTGGGCGAGACCCCCGCCCGGGAGCTAAGCGCGCTTCTGATCCCTCGTGCGCTCCCAGGGAGAGTGGGTGCCTCAAGCCCCTGCCACGCCACCTCGCGCGACCCCCTCTCCGGGCTGCACCGCCCCCGAGGACAGGCACTTGGAGAAAATGCGGTGTCACGCCCGCCGCGCTGCCCGCGCACGCGTCTGCGCCAAGCCGGGCGCCACGTGGGGGCCGCGGACCCAGGCGTGTGCTCGCCACTTGCGTGGCTGTGTAGGGGGCACTTAGATTATCTCAGCACGATTCGGAGGGAAGAGGCCGTGTCTACACTGCAGCCTGGCAAACTTCTTTCCCTGGGAGTTCTGCGCTGGCTTTGGGCGCGGACGCAGCTTCCAGCCGGGGCGCTGCGTGGGCCCCGGGCACCCGCGGGGAGGTGAATGCGGGGGAACACAGGCCCACTGCCCACGCGGGCTCCGCCTTCGTTCCCCGCGTGCGCCCGTCGGGATCCGCGCTCTTCACCCCCAGGGCCTTTCCAGTCCGCCTTGGATCCGCAGTCCCAGAGCCGGGCGACCCAGGCCCGTGGGCGCTCGGGCGTGGGACAGCAAAGTCGCAGCTTCCCCTAGGCGCCCCTCCCCAGTTAGGGAGCCTCGGAGGAAACTGCGAATTACCCACTGTACATCGGGGTCGCGGGGCGCCCGATGAAAAAACAAATGGCCCCATTAAATCGGTAAGGGGAGTCTCATTTTCACCGCGGGGGAGGCTCCACCCCTGCTCCAGCCCCGCCCCCACCCTTATTTCTGCAAACCGCAGAGAACGGAGCTAGAGCAAAAAATTCTTCTTTTTAATCTTCTTTAATAAGGAAGGTGGTTAAAATGTTCATTTCCAGGTATAAATCTTGATGGTACCGCCACGCTAAAATTGAAGGAGGATTGTGACCAAAGAATTCCAGAGCTCAGGGCGCAGAATTTTCACAGTGGGGGAGGGAGGCCCGTATCCCCTCCCCTTCGCCACCCCCAGGCCCTGGGCACCGGCACCCAGCGAGGCCGCACCCCTGGGCACGCGGGAGGGGCAGCGGAGCCGCTTCTTACGGCGCCACCGGAAGGGGAGCGGGGCGTCGGAATTTAGGTCCCTTCTCGAGGACGCGACGTCCCAGAAGCCACGCCATGTGGCAGGCACCGACTGCAAGCCTCGAGATGTGTTTTTTTTAAAACAACGTGAACTGTGGACCATCTTTGCGGCAAGCCTAGGGATGACTGTGCGGTTAAACGCGTGGTGCACACGCGCATGGGTTCATCCCGCAGGTTGCGGGGCACCGGATCTTCCAAGACTTTGAGGGGCTCTGCCTTTTGGGGAGCAGCGCGAGTGGCGTTGCGCGGCAGGGGGCTCGCTGGACCCCACCTCCACCTCCGTGCCCTGCCTCCCGCTGTTGGGGTGTTCCGGCCGTGAGCAGGTGTGGGGCGATGCTGGGGCGCGCCCGGGGCTGGCGGCAGCGAAGGGCAAGGTGCGGGGGGGTCCAGAGACAGGGCCGAGTTTGCCAGGCTGCAGACCACGCTCTGCGGAGAGGCAGAGAGTGACACTGACCAAGTGTCCGTCCGGGCCGACGGCTCGGCTCGGGAGGCTGGTCCGCGCCAGGCTCCTGCCGCTGTGCCAGAGCCTCGGCCTTCAGCGTCCTCCTGCGACGCGGCCCGTGCTTTGCAGAACAACTCTCCGTGGCATGGGAGTGACCACGCCTTAGCGCTGGAGAAGCTGCCTCGTGGTGACTTTGCGGCAGGAAGGGTTAAAAAAAATGCGGGATTTGTCCCGCTTTGCAACCCAAAATGAAGCCGGTAGGACTAAGCGCTTTCGCTGCCTCCCCGCTAGGATCCTGAAGGGGCGAGAGGGGCGAACGCCAGGACGACGCGGCAGTGCCCCATTTCTTGGGGCTCTGCCCTAGGGGGAACCATCCCCGCATCGTGGGGTGGGGTCCCCGGTGCACTGGACGCCCCCGCGGTCAAATCCCTCCGCGCCTGCTGGAGCTCGCGAGTCTCCCGCCGCCCTCGCCTCGTACCATGGGCCCTCCTCCTATTCCTTCCATTCCTAGGGCTGCCGGAGACTGCAGTGCGCCTGGCGGGTCCTCGCCGCCCCGCCGCCGATGGGGGGCTGCTGCGACAGTTGTGCCACGGCCTCGGCGCGCCCCCGTGCCGCACCGCGGCTCGCGGACTCCGCGCCCCCTCCGCCCCCACTCTCGGCCGCCTCCCCTCTCCCGCGCACTCCCGGTGCCAGCCCGGCCAGGGGCGGGCAAAAGCTTTAGTCAGTGTGCAGGTTTGGGTGTGGACGCCGGGGGAAGCACCCACGACGGTCATCCGCGACCCCATCGCTGCCGCCAGCTCGGGGTCCACCCACGTGGAACCCGCCGGTCCCCGCGGGTTCCTAGCGCCAGTCTCTGGGGTTGGGGGAGAAATGCAGTTCCCTGAAAGCCCCAGGGCGCTCCCACCGGTCTGTGTCCATCCCAGACTCTCACCCCGGTGCCAAGGTTGGGAAGCCCCGTAGTGCCCAGCCCGCACCCCCCAGCCATCCCTGGACAAAGCCGTCCGGCTTCTCGCGCCATGAACGGGAAGGAGGTCCCGGCATCGGGGAAGGGACGCGCGTGGAGAGCACCTCCAGGCGTCGCGCCGCCCTGGGGTCCCGGGTCCCTGGCCCCGCTTGCTGGGGGCGGGGCTGGAGCTGCGGGGGCCTCCTGCGCCGGGCAAGCGCCCCACCCGTTGTTCCTCCGGCGCCGGCACCGGCCGCGCGGCCCTGCAGAGAGGAGGCGGGCGGCGCCGGGTCCTCCACACCCACGTGCCGCTCGTGTGCGCGCCCCCGGCCTGCAGATGCCCGCGGGCTGGCGCCGCCGGGGTTTCCGGGCGGCCCCACCCTCCCTCCCCGGCCGCTGCGTCTCGCTCCCCGCATTCGCAGCCTCCTTGGCTTCTCCGCAGCGGCATCCAGGGCCAGGCGCCGCCTGCGGGAGCCGGGCTGCCCGGCGTGCCTGCGGGCCGTGCGGGGAGGCCTCAGCTCCCGCCCACCGACCGCGCTCACCTTTTTCTGCGGATGGTGGGATTCAGTCACTGCACCTGGGCTGCTCAGCCGCCGCCCACGGCCTGCGGGAGGGCGTTCCCGGGGCGCCGGCACCCTCCACCAACCCTTCCAAGCTTTCAGGCATCGCAGGCATCATCAGCGGGCCACCCTCAATGACGGGGGGGGGGGGAGGCACCGCTCCTGCTCCCCCTTTCTCCCACTCTCACACCAGCGCCCACCTATGCACACACCTGAACACGGAGAAGCCAGCGTCGGCGCCTCCCTCTCCCGGTTCCCACACCGTGAGGCGCGCACATCACGTAGCTGGCAGCAAGGTGAGGGGGTGGCACTCCTGAGCAGCTGCTTTCTTATTGTAAAATGTCAGAGACAACCTTTTGCCCTGGTCTTCGCGTTTTTAAGACGATTGCACTTAAAAAAAAATTTTTTTTGTAAATATGTAGCCCAGGAGCATTCACGGATTTGTAAGACACAGGTGTTTTGAGCTCACTGTGGATGTGCACGCGGTGTTAAGAAGGGAGGCACGGAAATCCTGCACCTCTGTCACCCCGGTTCCCCCAGCGCGAAGTAGAAGGTGTCCGCCGTGTCGCCACGCGCACATTGTGTCCAAACTTGCCCCGTTTCAGGAGTACTCCTGGCTCTCCCTCCCCACTCCGTGTGTGTGTGTGGATTTAGTTCCATGCATTTTTTTAAACATATGGAAGTTCCTGAATCCACCCACACAGTCAAGACCCTGAACGGAACACCCCGCAGGACCCCCTCTGGTTGTCCACTCCTACCTGAGGGACCACCCCTGGCAACCCCTAATCTGTCCACTCTTCCCAGGGTGGTCATCTCTAGAATGCTGGGGCAATGGATGTGCGGAGTGACGTAGCCTGTTGGGCGCCATCTTTCTTGACTCCCGCCAGGATCCCCTTGCAAATCACCCAAGTTAAAAGTCATCACCGGTTCCTTCAAGGGATTGGAGGGATGGCGCAAGTGAACAGTTTGTGTAACCGTCCACTGGCCCAAGGCCCCCGTGGAGGGTGCTTTCCAGCTTGGGGACTTCTGAAATAAACCTACTCTGAGACTCACTGTGCAGGCTGTTGGGGGGAATCTAAGATTTCTGTGGGATAAATGCCCAGGAGGCCACTGCCAAGTGTGGGTTTGTTAAGAAACTGTCCTCCTCCTGTCCAGGCTGCCCGTGGCACTTTGCCTCCCCAGCAGCAATGCATGAGTGATCTAGTTTCCC